ATGAGGGTGGTGAAACACTGGAACAGGTTGCCCAGAGAGGTAGTGGAGGCCCCATCCCTGGGAACATTCAAGGCCAGGTTGGATGGGGCTCTGAGCAACCTGATCTAGTTAGCAGTGTCCCTGCTCCTGCAGGGGGGTTGGACTAGATGACCTCTAGGGGTCCCTTCCAACCCTAAACATTCTATGATTCTATGATTTTGCCTCGGGTGCAGGAGCAAGCGATGGGCACGTACCGAGAGCGCCATCGGCTACTGCAGCACGCTGTCACTTTGCCGTAGCAGAAGCCCCCCCACGCTCGAGGGGAGGAGGACGAGACCCCCTCCTCCCTCTCCATGTGGGGCTGTGGCAGTGTCAGCACCCGTGGAGACGCTGGAAATAACCGGGGGGAGGCCAGGGCAGCAGCAGGACAAACGGGGCACAGCAGGGCGGACGATCGCCTCATTGCCTCTGGGCCGAGGCGACGGAGGCTTCGGTGCTGCTCGGGGTGCCGTTTGGTGCCGCGGGGTACCCCGCTCGGGTGGGGGGTACTGTGGGGTACCGTTCGGGCAGGGGGTACCCTGGGGTGCTGTTCGGTACCATGGGGTACCCTGTTTGGGCCTGGGGTGCCGCTTGGTACTGCGGGGTACCCCGTTTGGGCAGGGGGTACCCTGGGGTGCCGTTTGGTACTGTGCAGTACCCCGTTTGGGCAGGGGGTACCCCATTCAGTGCGGCAAGGTTGAACGGTATGGGGAGCCCCACGCTCTGCCTGTCCCCCTCCAAGGGCAGCGCCTGCTTCCTTCCTCCTGGCTGAGGAAATCCAGGGGGAATCAACCCCAGCCTGGGTGAGGAGGCCGACAGCCATCTAGGAGAATCTTCCTGGAGAAATGTAAGCAGACCAAAGCCCCAAAGTCTGCAGTTTTTTGCTTGGTTTTTTCTTTAAAAACCCCAGAAAAACAACCAAAAAACCCCAGCTTTTGAGTCGCATCTTCAAAAGATCTCTCCATACTCTGGAACTTAGTCAGACAAAACCCACCTCATTATCTGAGAAGGCTCCATCCATCACCCTCCTGTCCTTCCCCAGCGCATTTCATGCTCGAGTTGGACACATTAAGTGCAGAGAAATATAACGGCTGCTGATAAAAATGTTTTCCTGCGCCCTGCTGATGCTCCAAAGCGGCAGATCTGCGGTGCCCGGGGCGGCAAGGGGCAGGACGGAGGGGGTGAGAACGTAAGAGCAGACGATGGAGCAAGCGCCACCACTCCGGCAGGAGCTCCGATGGAGGTGCCGCGAAGACAAGAGGATCCTTCCTCCCACTCCTGCTCTCCCATCAGCCCACAAGTCATCGCCTTGAAGCGGGAAAAGCTCCAGGGTAACAGTTTGCTCCGTAACTACCTTTTCCACCCTAAGTTCAGGTCCAACAGCGGGTATTAAATGCAAATGCCTGGATGCAATCCAGGACACCGAGTCCCGGAGCCACTAATTGCTGGGAGCCGCAAGGTGATGACGCAGGACATGTTCTTCTGCTGGTACTCTTCTCTCCAGCCATCTGCTGCTGCCCACCGAAGGCACCGACCGGACCAACGCGGGTCAGGTCCGCCCATATAAACCTAATGGCTTTTAACAAGCTCCGAGGTGAATTCAGACCAGAGCATAAAACCAAAGCGGTCCGAAAGCCCTTTTCCTACCCATCCCCGTTCCCTGCCGAGGAGGCTCCGCGCTAGCTCTCTCCCGACAAACAGCTCCAGGAGAACCCAAGGGGACGCTACAAACCGGTGCTACGGGCAGAAACCTGTGCACGGGATGCCCAGCGGGAGCCTCTGACGCGCGAGCCGGAGACCGCACGCGTCCCGTTCCGGAGGACGCCCAAATAACCGCGCTTGCGTGTGCCCTGCCTCCGTCGCACGGGGAACCGGCTCAAAGGAAGGTGGTCAGGAAGGGATTCACACGAGGAGGAATGGAAAGAGCGTTGCAGGAAGAGTGGCCCCCTCTACCCCACCGAGCGATAGGGATGTCAGAGGAAGGTCTGAGAGGGAGCCTGGTGGCAAGCTGACGCCCTTCCGACCCAGGGAAGAGACCCGGCGAGATTCCAATACCCCCGCACAACAGGGGAGATGGGATTTTTTTTTTTCCCCCCCGTTAAGTATTTGATCAAGCCTCACAAAGGTGCTAATGCATTATTAAAGCTAATGAAGCTCTACAAGAAATGTTAATGGACATTAAGTTTGCATAAATGAATTACACATTAGCGCAGTGGCAAGAAATCTGGCGCCTGCCAATTTGGGTGGTATCTGCGCAGTTCGGTTTTCCTCATTACAGGAACATCGCTTCCCGCTAGTTTCAGAGAGATGAGAATTGTAACCAAGATGTTCATCATCAAACTACATAATGAAGCAGCTCACAGGAACGAGCACACAACTTCCTCCTCCCCTCCGAACGCCGCGTTACGGCCAAAGCGCGCCTACGAAAAGAGGAGCTTTGAGTCGTCCCAGGGGCTCCGTTACCTCCACCCGCTGGAACGCAGGCCCGGCCGCGTTTGGGGCCACAGGTATTCTCAGGTCCCTAAGCCCCGTTATCGTCCCACACAGCAGAGCAGCTCCTAGGGGAAGCGAAACGCATTAACGCCACCGAGCGCGTCAGGAGCACGACTGAAAATAGGCTGGCCTCAACCCGCGGCGTTCCTACAGGCTCCACGCGATTCCCCTTCCCCTGACGCAGAAAAGCAGTTGGTGCTGCACGGTCCCCGTGCACGCCACCGAGGTTCTTTTGCACAGCACCAAGTTTCTGCCAGTAAACCCACAAGGGCGGCCGGCCGCTTTGATGTGGAAGTAGAGAAGCACTTTTCAAAGAGGTAAGTAGGTTGCTAAAAGAAAAATGCTTGGATTTGATCTGTTCTGACCATTATAGAGCCCAGCCGGGAACCTTTGACGGTACCAGTTTGGTGCGCAGAACGTTGTTCCTTAGGGGAAGGAAGGTATGGATTTACGGCATCGCGGAAGGGCTGGGAAAAGCCGTGGCGTAACTCACGAAGCGGTACCCAACGTTTTGATTTCCATTTTTAAATCCCAGGACATAAACCCCAGCGATGCCGTCATTTTATCACGCGGCGAGGAACCGTACGCGTTAAGAGAGGGAAAAGCTCTGCTACTCACACATGACTTCCAGGTAACGCTGCGTCTGCAAGTCTTTGACAGCAGGGTGATCCACCAAGCAGATGACGGGGACCCCGTCATCCTCCCGTCCCACCTTCAGCACCAGCTGACTGGTCACCGTGTACATGTCGGACCACTGCTCCACTTCCGACTTGCCTGCCGGGGAGAGAGAGCAGAGCGCGATGACGGTGGGGACCGTCCACCTCGCCGCGCCGCATCCTTGCCGCTACACCCCCCCCG